CCCCGCATTGGTGCAGGAGGACCTCAGATATGGTGAGGAAGTGCCTGATGAATACATGATGGTGAGCCCATGCATTGGCCACCAGGGGGCAGGCTCACAGCCACTGACTCACCATCAGTGAGGTCAGAAAGCTGAGGCTCAGAGAGGGAAGGGCCTTGCCTTAGGTCACATGGCAGGGTCAGCCACAGATACCCTGACTTCAGCCTCACGACTGCTCCTACAATCCCTCCTCTCCACAGAGAGGAGCCTGGGGCCCAGAGAGGGAAAAGGTCTTGTCCAAGGCCACTCAGCTGCTCACCCCTGTCCAAGCTCCCAGCCTTAGGGTGTTGTTGAGACAGGACACCCCCTTGGCCCCTTGGTGATGCAAGCCCTCTCCGTCTCAATCTGCAGGACTTCATCTGCGTGTCGTACCTAGAGCCCGAGCAGCAGTCACGGACACTGGCGTCGCGGGCAGATACGCTGGCCACGGCGCTGTGCGCACAGTGTGCAGAGAAGTTCGAGGTGGAGCAGCCCCAGGACCACCGGCTCTTCGTGCTGGTCGACGGGCGCTGCTTCCAGCTAGCAGATGAGGCGCTCCCGCACCACATCAAGGGCTACCTGCTGCGGTGCGAGCCCAAGCGCGACTTCCACTTCGTGTACCGGCCCCTGGACGGCGGGGGCAGTGGGGACCCGCCCTGCCTCGTGGTGCGGGAGCCCAACTTCCTGTGAGGCCAGGGCCACTGCAGCCCCCTCGATGGCAGTGTTTACCAGGACAGGCTGGGCGGAGAAGCGGGTGGACTGGGGTCACACTTGCTCACCCCCACGCTCACACTCAGCTGCACCCCCTCCTACATGCAGGAGCCCCACATCTGACCACACACACACCCAACATGGATGCCCATATGTCATACATGCTTGCAACCCACTAAGCAGGCCAAGGCCAGTGTGGCAAGACAGTTGTGAAAATGACAAGAAGCAGTGGCCACAGTGCTTCCTGGAGAAGAGGCATAGCACTGAGAGGCCAGTTTGCTTATAAGACAGAAAGAGAAACTGAGGTTCAGAGAGGGAAGGGACTCTCCAGCCAGCTGCAGCAAGAAGAACTCAAGACTGGTCCCTGTTCACACACAGCCTCTGCCTTCCACCGCAGTCCACCCAATCTGGAGTATCTCCCCTGCACCCCAGGGTGGCACTGGGATGTGTTGGCCACCCAGGATCTCAGGAGTATATCTCAGGGCGTGTGTTGAAGAGAGAGGCCCCGATCCCTGGACCAGAGCCTGCCCTCAGCTACCAGCACCCCCAGTCTCTCCCGCAGCTTTTGAGCGCCTCCAGAAGCAGCCAGACATGCTCCGTGACACCATGAGGCCAGCTCCACGGCTCCATGGACGAGCCCAGCCTCTGCCACACAGGAACACTGACAGGGCCCTTCCCCTGGTGGACACCAGGGCTGTGGCAATTGTGGCAGGAGGCACCATGTGGGGAGAGTTTAATAAAAACCCTTTTGAAAATGGCATCTCCTTTTCTTGAGTGGCTGGAGTTCTGCTCAGCCAGCCAGGCAGCTCATTAACAGCCTAACGCCCTTCCCAGGTGGGGTTCAGGACACCCCCTCCTTTCCACTGAGGCCCTGTCCTTTGAGAATTTGCAGTGTACCCTCAGCCTCCAGGGCCCTGGCTTCTGTGTGCCCCTCAGCCTGGTCATCTGCCTCCTTACTATCCTTGGTTCCCACCGTTCCCACCTCTGGATTGTTTTCCAGTCTCTCACCTTCCTGTTTCTGCTACCTGTCCCAGAAATACCATTCCCTAAAGTCTTTGCCTGGTCAAACTCCTACTCATCCTTCAAAGCCCATCTCCTCCAGGAAGGCTTCTCTGATTTCTTGGACCAGCCAGGTAGACCTTGCCCACCCATGCTCCCATAGGCCCCGGGGCTCATCTCTCTCACAAGAGATATCCCATCAGAGTGTAGTTGTCTGTTGATACTTCTGCTTTCTCCACCAGGTTTGGACCGGTCGTGTCTGTGTCCTCAGCATTAATTAAAAATATAGAGTGTCCAAAAAAAATGTATATACACACTTTGAATAATTATAAAAGTGTGTGTGTGTACATGTGTATATGAGGGTGTACACCGGGCCCACCATCCTGAGGCCAGTCCTGGGGTCCACCCATCATCAGGAGGGGCCAGAAAGGAGGAAGCCCTGTTATCTGGATGCCTCTGCCCCAAGGGAGATGTGATAGGACAGCCTCGGGGGTGGAGGCCTGAGACAGGGCCTTTACACGTGCTGAGCCCTGGGTGTGCCTGGCGCAGTCAGCAATTATCCTACATCATTTTACTTAATCTGCACAACAGCCCCTTGAGGGAGGTATTTATAGGGGAGGACACGTAGGGCCAAGAAAGGGGCGGGAGGAGTTAGCCTGCTCCGGCGCCGTAACAAACCCGCAGGTGGAGGGCTTCGACCACAGAAACGGATTCAGTCACAGCTCTGGAGGCTGGGGTCTGAAATTAAGACATCGGCAGAGTCAGTTCCTCCTTAGCTCATGGACGGCGGCCTTCTCTGTCCTCACATGGCCCTTCCCCTGGTGTCTTCTCTTCCTATAAGGACACCAGTCCTATTGGATTGGAGCCCAACCGTATGACCTCATTTAACCTAATTAATTCTTTAAAGGCCCTGTCTCCAAACAGTCACATCCTAAGGTACTGGTGGTTAGGGCCGCAGCACATGAACTTAGGGACACAGTTCAGCTCATAACGGGGTGGCTGACTAGCCCAAGGTCACGTAGCCGGTTAGAAGCCAAAGTGAGGCTTGAAGTCAGGGCTGACCCCCAACTCTAGGCTTCTCTTTCTGCCCCATGCCGCATCCCACGTGACCTGTCTGTAGAAATCCCGTCAGATGAGCCTCAGCTGTCTCGGGGCCCAGCTCTGGGTGAACTTTCCTGAGGCAAAAGTTCAAAAGGTCAGCTCGCAGGGCTGAGCTGACCAAGGGCCCAGATGCAGCTGCACAGGCCTCGTTTCTCCGTGGGCCCCGAGCAAGGGGTCAGGAGTCCAGAGCTCTGTGTGTGTGTGTGTGTGTGTGTGTTCTTTGCATGATCCCTAAAGTCTTCTGGATTAACTCAATTTCATCCCTGTCATAACAGTAAGGAAGACCTATTACCCCTGTTTTAGAGATAAGAAAACTGAAAAATGACCCACTTAAGTACCTTGCCCAAGACCAGGTGGCTGAGCCAGGATTTGAACCCATACATGTCTGAGCAGAAAGACCTGTCTCTTAACCACCAGGCTATACTGTCTCCTTTCACGCTGTGCAATGAAAACGTGATGGGGAGCAATGTAAAGGGACCAAGGGCCAAGTGGATGCTGGAGGGCCTCAGAGAGGCGACAGTGCGCTTGAAACCCGGGATGGACTGCCCAGGGCTGGCCTAGGTGGGCAAGAGGGGCCGTGTATAGGGAAGAAAGGCCGGTAAGCCCTGCTCTCAAAGGATTGAACAGAAAAGATTAAACACATTTACCGCCTTAGAAGGAGCCGGGGCCTCCTGTGATGTTCCACCCTCCCCATGCTGTGAGCTTCGCAGGCCCCATTGCCCGTGGGAGTCCGGTGCTGGCCCCTCCAAGGCCATGATGATTATCTGGGAAGCTTGACACAGGGGCCAGTGTGTCACCTGGAGGGGCAGCTGCTTGGGGGGCATCGGTGGATGCGAGGAGGAGTGGCCAGTGGCAGTGCTGAGAGGAAGGGAGGCAGCGAGGTCACCGAATGGGTAGGCAGAGGATGGGCAGGCCATATTGTTTCATTTTTAATTGCAAAATATACATAACAAAACTGACCGTTGAGCCACTTTTAATTGTACAGTTCAATGGCATTAAGAGCATTTCCATCGCCATGCAACAGTCACCACCCCCATCTCCAGAACTTCTTCCGTCTTACAAAACTGAAACTTCATTCTCATGAAACACTAACTCCCCACGCCCCTCTTCTTCAGGAGCCTCCAGAGAGACAAAAGGCGTTTCTCCTTCCACTTCTCCATCGTGTGGTGTTGGAGGGTTTGCAGGCTTTCTAGAAAGAGCCCTGTGTGTCAGGGGCTGTCTCCAACCTGATCAAAGGCAATAAACAGGAGAGAGACTCTTTCAGGAAGCGGGTGTGTCAGCAAGGACCCAAGTTTACCTCCATCCTCTGCAGTGTCACCAGGATGGCTTTCAGTCTCACTTCCCCGTATCCTGCTAACCCCTGGCGATTCAGAGCCATCGGGATTTTTATTAGATGTAAAAGGTGGCTTATTCTAATGGGACTTGTAGACTCCACTGATGTGTTTAAAGACTCAAAAGGAACTGGGGTCAGATCCGCTAGGTCGCTATTCTGGCGACCCTGGAACAAAGAGCCTTGCGCTTCTTAAGGCCAAATGTTCTGGGGGCCAGTGTGGGGCCCCAAGAGCTTTCCACGTATGTGGGAGTCGGAGGGTTGGTCCCCGCAGTGGGCCTTTGTGCCTGGGGACTGTCCTGTCCTAAGTGCTGAGTCAAGAAAATGTTTCCCTTAAGTTTCCATTTCATAGGGGGTTCCCCTAAAACATTCTCTGTAGGAAAGTTCTGTACGTGTGTCACAGAACTTTGACAGGTTTCGCCAGCTTTGCAGTTTGCAGCAGAAGTTTCCAAGAGCCCTTCCCTAAACTGTACCTTCAGGCAGATGACATTCTCTGGGGCCCCCTGCTGTTCAGCCCAAATCTTGGTCTTCGGTAAGACAACCTTCAGGGAGGCTCAGCTGCAGTAAGTGATGAGCCTTAATCAGGCCCTTGATTTGGTCTACAAGCCTGGAAAGAATTCTCAATACAGGTACACCTCGGAGGAACTGCGGTTGGTCCCAGACCACCACAATAAAGCCAGTATTGCAATACAGTGAACCATAACCTCATTGCTGGCGGAGGGCCTTGCCTACAATTTATAAAACCCGCAACATCTGTGAAGTGCAATAAAACGAGGGATGCCGGGATGCCCGCCCAGCCGCTAAAAGTTCCAACCCACGTGTGTCCAATACGTATTAAGGACTCCAGCNGGATGCCGGGATGCCCGCCCAGCCGCTAAAAGTTCCAACCCACGTGTGTCCCATACGTATTAAGGACTCCAGCAGGCGTCCCGGGAGTGAGCGAGCCCTCGGGATAGGACGGTGCCCTTCTAAGAAGGACAGGAGACCTCCCCCTCTTGCCGCCGCGAAAAGGCAGCCGCTGAGCCAGGACGAGAGGCCTCGCCAGAAACCAATCCTGATGGCGTCTTGACCTTGGACTTCCAGGCCCCAGAACTGTGAGAAAATTAATTTCTGTTGTGTTATTTATACTGTTATGGCAGCCTGAGCTAATGCAGGCGCCAACTGTTTCCATTTGCCAGGAGCCGAGGGAGCTCCAGGGACAGTCCCGAGCAAACCAGGATGAACTGGTGACCCAAGTTTATGAACTGATGTACGTAAAGTGTGTGGGCTTCCTACAGGGCATGCATGCAGTAAGTGCTCTATAAGTGCTAGCAATTATTATCTCAACAACTATTTAGTAACCTGCTCTGTGCTAGATGTGGTTTAATATATGGGGATACAAAATAGACAAGTGCTGCCCTCATGGAGTTTACAAGCATTTATTCAGTGCTCAGATGAAATCATTAGGGTGTGGCTGTGACCGGTTAATATTAGGGGCTGTCAGAATGGGAGGGCACAGTTCAGACAGGGTTGGGCTCTGGAGAGGTGGCCCGTAGGCAGTTCTCTCAGCTGTCCCCCCACAGAAGCCACCAGACGAGGCAGTCATCTTAGTTGTTCCGTGTTTCTAAAAAAATGAAAGCCGAGAAGTGGGTAGCACCGGGGCCTGAGCAAATGACCACAGCTGTTTTGTCAAACGGCTCTAGGACAGCCCAGCTGCCTCGAACTTTCTTTTTGACTAAGCATACTGTCTGGAAGTCCCCCACCTTGGCCACAGGAGAGCAGAGAGCATGCTTTGGAAAATGTGGTGCCACCTACAGGCTGTTGTAAATGTCAGAAATATCTTATTGGGACTTTTTCATGAATGCACATCAGAGGGCCTCGTAGATACTAAGTATTTATATATCTAGAAGTCTCTTGGGACTGGAATTAGTGGACGCCTATGCTCTCTGGGGCTCAGATAAAAATTCCAGCAGGGGGCTCTGTTTTTTTAGTATGTCCCAGGCAGCGTGGGGAAGCAACTGGCTTTATGTGAGCTGGGAAAGAAACTCACATTTATCAAGCACTTCCTACATGCGAGAGTTTGTATTATTTTACATCTATCCCCACCCATTCTTTATTCATTCAAAAGTCCTTATTAAGCTTCTGCTGTTTTCCAGGCACTGATATGGGCCAGATAAACTGAAAAATATATAATGTCTAGTGTTGGTGAGTGTATGAAGCAAAAATAAACCGAGTAAGGAAATGGAGTGAAGCCTGGCATTTTAGATGCGGTGGCCAAGGAGGGCTCCTTTGAGGAGGTGGCATTTGAGCAGAGGCCTGAATGAAGTAAGGGAGAAAGACAGGCAGATGCCTACGGGAAGAGCAATCCGGAAAGGGGCCCAGACAAGGACAGACGCCCTGAACGGGAATTTGGTTGGTGTGTTTGAGAATAGCAGAGGCTCCCGTGTCTGGAGTGGGAGCAGGGAAGAGGGAGAGGAGACCCAGGCTGATCAGTAAGGCCTGTGGGCCGCGCAAGGGATCTCGGGTTTGTCCTGCGTGCCGGGAGCCGTGGGAGCAGGGACTCTCAGTGCCGGCTGTCCACTGGGACCGTCTGGGGAGCTCGTGCCAGTGCCTCGCCCTAGCGAACTGGAATGGGGGCTCCTGGGCGCGGCCGGGCACCCGGCTGCTCTGCGTGCTCCCGGGATTCTCACAGCAAGCGCGGCTCGAAACCACAGTAGCAGCTGTGAGAACATGATGCGGCCGCTATGATTAATGATAAGTGTGCTTCTGTGGAAAGACTTTAGATCTAGTAAGTGCATGGACATGTGGTCGTTGAAGGCAGCTCTTTAAAACTATCAGCTCTTAAGTTGCAACACCTGCCTCCCATCAACCCAAATGGGTTTTTACTGGGAAATGCAGCTTCTAAAGCATCCCGAGTCACTTGATGCTCTGACGGTTGGCATGCTGCACACAGAGAGGGAGCTAACGTACAGGGTATTTTCGATCCTGTGTATTTTTCAGAATGGGAAGTTTGGATACAGGCTTCTCCAAGGCCCTCGAGGTCTGGGTCTCCAAGGTGCTGTTCTTAATAAGCACAGTGAGATGCTGGTGGTCGCATCTCCGTAAACTGTAAAACGCCTCGCACATCCTTGCCTCTTTTGTTCTGTCCACATCGTCATGAGATCTGCTGAAGGAATCTGGACATAAGAATGTTCATTTTATCGAGCAAACCTGTTGACTTTGATCTGGGAAAAAATGCATCGGGGCTCTCTTAAGAAAACGTAAGCCTGGCCAGTGTGGCTCTTGACTGAGCATTGTCCCCATGCACCAGGAGGTCACTGGTTCAATTCCCAGTCAGGGCGCATGCCCGCGTTGCAGGATCGATCCCCAGTCGGGGGCATGCAGGAGGCAGCTGATTGATGTTTCTCTCTCTCTCTAATCAATAAAAACATGTTTAAAAAAAAACACAAAAAAAAACTTCAGTGATGCCTAGGACCCTGGCATAGACATGTCATTTTTAGATCACTCTCAAGGCAGGTATGTCAGCCAAGGCCACTGTGCCTTTCCTTTGACATCAGAACCTCTACAGAGAAACATCATATACACCTGCCTTGCTTGGACCCCATTTTGTTGCAAATGAAGTGTGATGAGATTCCCTTAAGGCCCGAATTGGGCTCCCACCTCTGCCCAGGGAAGATTACCAACAGGGTGGAACCTCTGCTCCATTTGCTGTTTCTTGACCTGAGCAATAGTTACAACGGTGTTCACCTTATAATTCACTAAGCAATACACTTGTTTTATAGGGCTTTTGATGTTTTATTTTATAATGAAAAGGTAAAAAATAAAGTATAATTTGTACATAGGTATGTAAATATGTAGAAAGGGGACTCTAATGATGAACACCGAGCTGTATTGAGGTTTCTGGGGAGGCAAGGGATGGCCACACTTTGCCTGAGTGTTTCTGTGCTACATCTCTCATGTGCCAGAGAGCGTGTTTGTACCTTTTAGATACAATTAGAAAAAAATGCTGGTCCTAGCTGTGATGCACATAGAAAGGTCACCCTTATTAGAAATCTAATAGGCAAGGGATGGGGAGCCCATTTCTCCTGGGAGCCCACAAACCACGGAGGAGAAAAAGTCAAGGCACTGTGACATGAAATCGTCATTTATTTGAGAAATGAAACAGCTGCTTTCCCCTTTAGAGCTAGGAACAGTATGGTTTCCGTATTGGTTAAGTACATAATATAGTTTTTCGTACAGGAAGGACAAACAGAGAAGCGGGATAGAAAAGGTAGTTAACAGTTCGAGAAAAAAAAACAGCTTTTACCACCTGTATCTGGAGGCCTTTAAAGATACTCCCATTAAAAGTCTACTTTTTGGCATTTGCATTTCCTCGAACATCAGCCAGCACTGGGGTTGCCCATTAGCGATAAACATACGCGATCATCTTGTACTTGTTACTCAGAACCCTAGAGCTCCCCAAATCCGTAGGACAGTGAGTTCTTTATCCTAAAGTCACTCAATTAGCCCTGGGGACCTTACTGAGAAAGGAGGTTTGTGCTGATAAAAAATTGGCCCATTAGAAACACAGCATCGCCCCTGGGTTTGTCAGACATAACCCTGCCGGTATCCCACCTTCCATTCGTAACTCCAAACTTACAAAGGCATCATCGCTGCCAAATAGGACAGGTTTTCACAGTATGAAGCCAGGTGGTCATAAGCTTAGCAGGTGTTACCTTTTTTCTTTGCTTTCGCTCTGTCTAAACAGCCATCTAGCTATATGGTTTATTTTTAAAAACAGCTTTATTGAAGCATTATTAACAAACCACGTAATTTCCACTTAGCACATACAATTCAATGATTTTAACTATATTCAAGAGTTGCCCAATCATCACCACATCAATTTTAGAAATTTTCACCACTCCAAAGGAATCCTCATACCCACTAGCAGTTGCTATTTCCCCATTTCCTCTCCTCCCAGGCCCTGGCACCACTTACCTACTTCCCGTCTCTATAGATAACAATGGAATCATGCATGTGTGCTTTTTTGTGATGGGCTTTTCACTTGGCCTAATGTGCAGCACGTTATCAGTGCTCTGTTCCTTTTCATTGCTGCATAATATTCCGCTGCATGGCCATAGTTAGTGTTCCTCTTACACGTCTTTAACCCACTGAGTACCTCCCTGTGTAAGGCACCAGGCAAAGGGAAATGAAGCCAAGTCAGGCAGACCCTGACAGCTGCTGAAAGAGATGCCAAGAAGATGCAGACAGAGGACTTTTGATGGGTGAGAGAAGAGGGAGTTGAAGGTTTGAGGGAGGGTGTCAGATGGAGGGCAAGGCACTCCAGGGCACGAGGAACAGCAAGAAGCAAAAGGCACAGGAGGCTGCAGTCCAAGGAGAGCAGGGGAGCCGAGCAGAGCAGAGCGGCTTGGGGGGGGAGGGGAGGATGAGGCCAGGACATAACTGCAAGTCACTGGCCCAAAATTAATACTCGGCTTCAGTTACAATCTTTATTTTTTTAAGACTTGCCCGTTATTGAGGAATAAAACATAAAAAGCCATCAAAAGTTACATTATTTTCTAAAAACAGTTTTCCATTTGGGGCTTCTGTTGCCCTTCAAAATAATCCTTCTGAAGACTTAAGAGGTTCCAGCTTCAAACTCCTCAGTACAGAGACTGTTTCACTGGCTACAGAAGCCCAAGTGCACTTCTTGCTCCTTAAAATGATAGGCAAAAAGGCCTCTTGGAAAGCAAATAGACCTTTCTCAACAGAGCTCTACCCCAGCCACATGTGTAGTCTTCAGAGCATCACGCGGGGCCTGTGGGAGACCGGGAGGTGGGGAAAGGCCTGGAGTGCGGCCCAGGCCCGCCCTCTCGCTCCTTCCACCTCTGATCAGCACACGCTCAGGGACAGTGTTCACACTTGGAGAAGCAGCAAGAAGGCAGTGTTTCAGTAGTAACCAAGGCACACCTTGTCCATGGACGATTTTATTCTGCAAGAAACGGGAAGAAGTCGGTAAACCATGTCAACTCTAGAGAACCTGAGACGAACATACCCCAACATGGAACGGGCAGCATTTACGACGGACCCACGGCCTCCCGATCTCACTGAGAAGGCAGCTGTTCCAGATTCTGCCACAGGCAGAGGCAGAAGCCAAGCTGCCCACCAGCAGGAAAGCAGAGCAGTGCCGCTCCCTCCTGCTCAGTGACCCTGACCTTCAAATGCCACGTGCTGACTCACCTGTCAACTGGATACGGTTTCTCACAGAGGTTGACCAGCACGTACAAATGGCGCAGAGCATATTCGTACTGGAGGAAAGCAGACCAAAAGGCACAATCAGACACCATCGTTTCATTGTACAATCAATTCTTAATCTGGGAATATCCCACTCTCGTGGTTACAGAGGCAAAGCATCTTAAACAGTAATTCTTGACCTTTTGGGTCATGGGCCCCCCTCCCCACCTTTTGATAATCTGGTAAGATTTATGAACCATCTTTCCCTGACACCCCCAAATGCACCTGTCGGGGCTGGCAGACCTCCAGGAGGGCTCTAAGACCCAGGTTAGGACTCCTGGTTGAGAACCCTCTTGGCCCTGCTTCCCTCTGGTACCTAGCACCGCCCCTGGCCACCTGGCTTTTGTTTCCTGGAACCTCATTCTGGGAGGGAGACAGATGGTAAGTGAATGCCACACTGGATTCTAACAGGTTAAGACCCAAATAACTGGGGATGCTTATCTTGAAAAAAACTTTAGGGGAATCTGAAAACTCCTGTAAGGAAAAGAGATTTACTGTGTGATTCCAGAAGCAAATAAGTATTACAAAGAAAAGAAAGTTTTCATTCAATAAATAGGAAATTTTAAGTTATCAAATAGGGAAAGAACTTTGTTAAATAAATGAAAAAAATAAAAGCTTCTTAATAATGGAGAGCTACCTCCAAAGGGGCCAGGACCCTTCCTCGGAAGTATCCACGTAACCGTGGTATGCACATCACAGCCCACTGGAACCTTCGGCCACAAGGGAAATGTGCTACAGGGTCCTACAGGTCAGGAGCCGCTGGTCACGTGTGGCTACGGATCATGTGAAATGTGGCTGGTGTGGCTAAGGAGCAGAGCTTTACATTTTACTTCCTTTTAATTAATTGAAGTCAAATTTAAGTAGCCCCAGGAGGCCAGCGACTCCATATTACAGAACAGCTTTAAGAGTGGGCACACTTCCTCTGAAAAGGGTCGGATAAGCAAGTATTTTCACCTGCGGGCTGTTTGTTCAGACCTCTGACAGTGCGAAAGCAGCCAGCACAATGGGATGGAACAGAATGTGGCTGTGCCAATGAAACTTTGTTTATAGGCACGGTCTTGGGGGGCAGGCTGAGGGCCAGTTTGCTGACCCCTTCCCCGGAGGACCCGAGCATCACAGTACTGACCAGAGAGGAGGCCCGTCGGTACCTCCCAGCCTGACACTCCCAGTCTTAGCGACGGGGTTCCTCCTCCACAGGCCAGGGCCTGGCTTCAACAATATTAAAGGAAGAGAAACCTGTGCGGCTGGTGTGAAGGGTAGGGGCGAGGGATCGGGTGTGGCAGGGACCGAAGTATGAAGAGAACGGGAGTTGAGACATCTGTGACTGGTAAACTCCTATCCACGGCGACAATTGCGCGTCTCGGCCAGCATTTATGGTCCGTGAGCCTGGACCTTCTACCCCCCCGCCCGCTGTCCCCTGCCCCGGGGGGGGCCTCGCAGCGGCTCACCAGGGCCGAGTGCCAGTTGAAGCAGTAGGTGCGGAAGTGGGACACGGCGGCCTGGTAGCAGTCGTGCTCCGTGAGCGGCGCTCTCTCCGACAGGAGCCTCTCCACCTCGTCGTCGGACCTCGTGGTCAAGGAGACGATCTTTCGCACTGACTTCTCAATGACATTCCTGCTCTGTGAAGAAACACATCTTTTTGAAATGTATCTAACTTCACGAGGCCGCTTTGGGACCCTGGATGGGTTAGAAGCTTCTCTTCACACGGCCCCACCCCCGTATGTTAACACAGACGCCAACGGGTATGTCCTCTGGTCCTGCAGGAGGCAGAAGACGTAGGGTGAAGCCCCTGTGACAGCTGGAAACCTTAAGAAATATCATGTCTTTTAGGGATCTCCTGGCATGATGGACACATTGACACCTAAATACCTGAGGGACAAGTACGTGGGGCCCACTCTGAGGAAAGAGGGGGAGTAGAAATTGTGACCCATATAGACTGTTGTCCCATGAATGGTGCTGTGTTCACCATCAAATGGGCACACAAAGGCCACTGTTTACTTCTCAGATAAAGATGATCAACATCATAGAGGAAGCTGCTGCTTCATTAACCAAAATTTACAATCGAGGCCTCTGACCAC